TGCAGTAGAAGTATGTGACAAATGCCACAGGGATGTTGAGACATAACACAGAAAGCAGCCCCTTGAAAAACATTTCCTAGCATCTCAAAAGACAGGTAGAATACAGGAATGTTTGTTTTACATGTGTACACCTATAAAGAACAGGCTGATCCTTCTCATTAGATAAAATGTAGATAGATACAGAATTAGATACAGAAATCCCAAAGAAATACTAAAATTTTTATGGTAACTTGTCTTCCCCCTTCTCCCCCCCTTAAGATTTGCTAGATTATGTGCTGATTCCATTACTTTGTGTTTCTAATAATAGATATAGGAAGTAGGAGAAATGATAATGGTACCACTGTTGCAGGAAGGCTACCTCCTTCACAATATAATCCACCCTCACCACCACCTCCACCAGCAACTACTCTTCAGCTGGAAGGCATGGTAAGTGTGTTCCTGGAACAGAACTGTATTTGCTAGAAATGAAACTGAACTTCCTTGGCTGGAGTTTTTTGAAGAGAGTCAAAGTATGAAAGGAAACCTGTGGTTATGTTCAGATTGAATTGTGAAAATGAAGTGACTGGAGCACAGCTGCTGTGACTTGCTGTACTTTCAGTAAGCTTTGTTTTTTATTTTGGTGAAAATGCATTACACTAATGAAGACAAGATCACTGCAATAAGCAGAATTTGCTCTCCAAGGTTCTTTATGTAAAAAAGCTGTTGAGTTTTTCTTAAAAACGCCTGAATTTTTAAGAAAATTTTTGAGAAAATACTCTGAAAAGAAGAAAAGCTGGCTTGCCTTAAAGCTTCTTTTTTAGGGGTGTAACACGTATAGGCACAGAGGGAACTCAGCGTATTGTCATGTCAGCTTAGCCAGATTATTATCCAGTAGCTTGGTTGTTCTGGACCTGCCCTGGAGTCATCCAGAAAACATTGCCACTGTAAAACCATTTCATGCCGAAGTGTAGGTTAAAACAAAGATGTGTGTGCCTCTCTCCTGATTTATCGTTCTAATAGTGACAAATGCTATTCACACCCTTTCTACAATTTTTAGACAAGTGATTTTAAATTAGCTAATAAACAGGAACAATAAAGGTAAAATATTTGCAAAGACATTAAAATTAGAAGGATAATTAGTTTAGTAAAAAACCTGACTTTCTAAAGAGTAAAATTTTATTTTCTGGAAAGTTATATTCATTCTTTGTAAACTCTGGTTTTATTCACAGTTTTCTAGCCACTTTAGTCATGCAAGCACTTCTCAGACCAGGCTAGATTCTGATTCTCCAGTAATCATCACTAGCACAGCAACAGGATCTGGTGTGACATCAACTCAAAAACTGGTAACAAGCTAAAATTAACCTTTTTCTTTTTTTCTACTTTAAGGTACAGTTATAACAAATATTAGTTTGGATATTGTCATTTCTGCATTTTTCAGAGCAACACAGATATGTAGTTGAGGACACTGCTGTAGAGTTTCAATAGCTGTGTGAAGACACTAGCTTGCAAATGCTCATTAATGTTACATAAACCCATGTACACTAAGAGCAATTTTAAATTCATTTTGGAGTTGAGGAGGCAGAAGTGTAGCAAAATAAGGAACAGAAGAATGTATGTACACTTACGTATAGTGCAATAGGAACAACTAGTGTTTGACTTGATACCCTTTTGTTATGGAAAGAGTATGCTTTGCTTCATTATCCTGCTGTTTGAAGTGTTTTCTCATTCCTTTTTCTTTACTTGTTGCTAAACTGCTCTCCTTTCTTTTCCCCATCTGACACAGTTTGCTATCAGCTGTCAGAGAGAGATGCAGCGTTATATGCATGGAAGTTTTTTGGTATCTGCTCTGTCCTTGCTAGGAAGGCTTTCCACATTGAAGTACCTTCAACTGTCACTTGAGTATGCAGTCAGTGAGCAAAGCAAAGCTATCCATGCTGCTGGATTTTTGTCAAATTAGCCTAGCTCCCCTCAGGACAGAAGTCATTTGCCTGAAATGCTATATCTTACTTAGCATGGAAAAAGATGGTTGCAAGTAGGTGGAGCAAATTCAGTCCTGTGTAACATAACTGGACTACCTGCAACATCACGTGGTCCATTTAGGCATCTGGCAGATAAAACTAAGCAAAAATATTAGAGCACTGTAAATATTATGTTTAGAATTTTTTACCAACTAATATTTAATTTACTTATAGCCCATGGCAAAAGTAGTAACATCTGCTCAACAGAAAGCAGGAAGAACAATCACTGCTCGTATCACAGGCAGAGCTGATATGGGACAAAAATCCAGAACTTGTGGGAGTTTAGCTGTGATGGGAGTTGCTCCACCCATGAGTTCAGTCATTGTTGAGAAACATCATCCAGTCACTCAGGTAAGTCAGAATTATGTTTGTTACAGTATTCTTATTACAATACATTTGGTAATAGTTTAAAGAAAAATTATATTGTGAAGAGGTATTAGACAAAACTCAGACTCGAGTCCTGTTTAAAATAGCAAAACAGTACTTGCAGTCTTTGGGCTGGGTGGAAGGCTCTGCCGAGGAGATTGCCACTTTAATCTGTTTGTCTTAGTTCTGTAGTAATTATTTCACAGGTATAGTAGTCTCGTATCTCTTTCTTAGCCAGCTCTTCCATGAGAAGTAGTTGATCCAGCAAGGTTTGGTGTCATCACCATGCCACCACAGTTTAAAGACAAGTCATGGTATAGAGCAGGAGTGACTGAAGCAGAGGTGGTAGAGGTACAGACTCACCTGACATGCTGAGCTTAGCAAATGGCAAGGGGGAAAAAGTAAAACCCTTGTCCAGAGGCAATCAAATTTGTCAAGTCTGCTGCTTGTCGTATTTTGAATCCTATTCTCTGTATTTATCCTGAAGAAAACACTGAAATAGTTGCATTCATAGGGTATAGAGGCAATATTTAAGAGCACTATAAAAGTGACCTAAATGGCCTAGGCAATCACTACACATATAGACCAGTCTGAGCAAAAAATGGTTTTACCTGGAGGTATAGGGAACAACTGAAGATATTTTTTGTTATATTATAACCTGTAAAATAGAATCTGAGTTTTCTCTGTGTTATCTGAAAGTCCAGTTTCTTTTCAGTGATACAACCAGAGCAAGCAGAGCTACTTCATGTCCCTTAATCTGGCTGGAGTTACTGGTAGCTGTGTGAGGAATGTTCTGCTTTCCCCCATTTCCTGCGGTGACTCAGAGCCCTATGGCAGGCTGCACGCAGCTTTCTAGAATTTGGGCTCCTAAGCAGATATTCATAATTAAATTGTATGTCCTTAGAGGGTTAGAGGTTCAGTGTGATAATTATTTCATTAAGAACAATTTCTGGATTCAGAGTGTGTGACTAGTGTCACAAAGAATGTACCTGAACACTGTATCAAAAACTGATTTCTGAAAATGTAATAAATGTGAAACCCCACCTCAAGATATATTCTGTATACTCTTTCTGCAAATAAATGCCTAAGTGGAAGACAATCAGATTGAAATGTTTCTCAAGTTAATCTGAGAAGGGAGAGAGTTTACCTTGATTAAAAGCAGAATAACTACTGTTTATTACACTAAGGTGGCTAGTTTTTTGTGCAGAAAATTAATTGTTGATAAAATTGCAAAACTTTTCCTTTCAGAGATCTTTCAGAGGCTTCCTCATAGCAAATAATAAGCTTCAAAAGGAAAGCTGGCATGATGAAATTAGCACTACAGAGGAAAATTCTGAATGATTTGGTAAAAAAAAACCAAACGAACCAACCTTGAAATAAGATTGAGGTGATAAAAGCTCAAGATAGCTAGTTAGAAGTTTAGCACTTTACATTCTAAAAACTGTATTACAGATAAGAAAGGAAAAAATTAGTCGTTCTGTTAAAGTAACCCTTTTTTTTCTATTTTGATAAGTATATTTCAATTTGCTCGATTGCAAATCTTTGCTTAAACTACAGCTCAGCTGGGGCTAATTTAATGGGAATTTTTTTGTACCCCTAAGTGTTTTGATGTATCTGATTACTTTTCAGCAAACTGTATCGCAAGCCACTGCTGCGAAATATCCTCGAACTGTGCTCCATTCTTCTGGCTCTACCACTGCGAGACCTGCAGGACAAGCTGGGCGAATGCTTCAGGGCCAGACCTCTACCAGTGTTCAGTCAATTAAAGTTGTTGACTGAGTGAATATCATTATCACCGGTGGGGTTTTTTTATTAAGGTACCTCCTCCCAGTCTTTTCAGATTTGATGTAGTAGGGCTTAAAGTACATATCATGTTTTTACCCTTTGCTAAAAAAAGGGGGTTTTTTTAAAGTGCTTTTGTAGTAAACATCTGGAGGGGAAAAAAACTTGAACTGTTGTTCTACCTCCAAACTACTTGGGAACTTATTTTATTAAGATAAACCCTTTCTATTTAAGGAATCTTTTGCACACTTTTAAATAAAGGATACAATGTGATTTTTGTCTGAATCTCTTTGTTTAGTTCCAATGATACTTAACATCTGTGTTCAAGAGAAAATTAAATTTATTTTTGTTATAAATGCTTTTAGTTGCTTTTAGAGTAAGTGTAGTTGACACGCACCTTAATTATATCCTACATCTTAGTGTACTTGAATGAAGAACAACAGGGTGGTATCCTTCACACCCCAGGGTGCAGCTTGGGCCAGGTGAGGTACTGAGTCCATCAGATTCTTAAACATTCTCATTTTTCAAGCTAATGTTGCAGAACTTCATGCATTCCATAATTTGAGGATTTACCAGCCTGTTCTTCATATTCCTGTGATGCTTTGCAGACATGTCAAAATAGGTTGCACACAAGAGGGCAGTTTGGTGTAAAACTTCACACAAAGATACAGATTATCTTTTTACTACAAACAGTAGGATTCAGTCCAAAATAATGCAGATTATATACAAACAGAAAAGGTGATTCAATTCTTCCATTACATATTGCTATGTTGTTATAAAGAAGATAGACATTTTACATAATTTTTCAGATATGCAATATATTAAATGAGAAAACCTTTAAATATGTTCAGCAAGGCACTACCAATATTAATTCAAGATATGAACAAGAAATAGGTAGATAATTTCTAGATGTGTTTAAGTATTAAATATCAAATGTTCTTTTTGGAGTATGTATACAGCATGACATAAAATTCTGTAGCCAGACACACTTGAGTTTAGACATGACATTTTTGTGTATTTTCACTATATAATTCAAATGCTGAAGAAGAATGACTTGTCATAATCCTAGGAAGACTTTATGAAAAGCTGAATCTCAGATGAGGCCAGGTGCCAGCCTATTTCTGGAAGTGTTGATTTATTTATACTAATAATTTTTACTTATTAAATTTGACCTTTTTTCAGGTAGAAAACATCTTATTTATATTTCATGTCAAACATAAAATTAATTTGCAGTTCCAGTATGGAATTAGTGTATCAATGTTAAGTGAGGTGTAGAAATTGTAAGGGGTGGCTCTTGCTTAGCAGTATAGTCATAAATCACCAGTCAGCCATTCACTCTTAAATTCTTTAAATTGTTGTATAGCAAGCATTTGACAAAGAAGTAACCTACATTTCAGGAGTGCAAGTTCTTCTAGCTTGGAAAACCTTGTACAACTTCAAAATAGGTTTTTGTTTCCAGAAAAGATATTATTTGAAAGTCACTTTCCATCTGGCATGTAATTCCACCATATATGCCATGTTTTATTGATGAACTCATGAAACTGCACATTTTCTGGAGTCCATGCCAGTGCTAATTGAAGTTCTGATCTTCTCTGTGAAGTAAGAGAAAACACTTGCTTGGCATGCTCTGCTTTTTACAAGGTCAAACTAATCTAACTGAAGGGTTGCCAGTTACAATTTAACCATGTGTGCAAGACAAAGGAGGGAAGCAAAGTTTGCACATTTTTGTCTTCCTTTAGAAATCTCAAGTCTCACTTAAATGCTTTTTCTCAAGCAGCCTCACCCCGCAGCAAGGGCAGAGTCCCAGAGAGGAAGAGTGTCCTCCAGCCCTGCCACAGTCACACCATCCCAGCACCAGCGGGGACCTTGGCACCACACTGCAATCTCCTGGAAGACAGTGTAATGGGCTCTGTGTCAACTTACCAGCTAAAGGCTGAAATCCTGCTGCCATGAGATCTTCATATAGATGTTTGACAGGATTCTGATGAGCCAGCAGCGTCCCGTGTAACCAGATGAGCAACATTCTGTTTCCATGTTCCTTGTAACTTTTTTTCCCTATGCAATACACAAAGTACTTGTTCAATATGCTGGAAACAGTGTATTTTGTGCTTTTGCACTTTTAGAGTTGCAAGAGGATTTAAAACCTGCTCAATTATTTCCCTCTCACCTAGAAGAAAAATGAAGATTGATGCTTATAAAAGTTTTAAAAAAAAACAACTTTTTTATCCTAACGCTACTGTTAAGAGAGAAAAAAATCCTAATACATCTTAAAATTAATTTTTCCTTTCATTTTTGCCCAAGATGTGGAAATATATCCTAGAGTAGCAGTGAACAAGTATAATATGTGCTGTAGAAGTATTGTTTTAGCAGCACTTAATATGCCTGAAACCAGTAGCTACTGTTTCATGGCAGCTGTGCAGACAGAACATGAACAAGGTCTTTCTGTGTCATGAGGTTTCCCAGGTCCTCATTTGCAGCATGACCTGCAAGACCCTTCCATGCTGCTCACTGCTTCTGGTTTTGATCTCCTAAGAGGAAGGTTTTTTCAGGCCAAAAGGGAGAGCAGAAGTGGCCTGTAGTTCTACAGCACTGCTTCCTGGGAACTAGGGACAAGGCTTGTATCCCTTCACCGTGTGATACTCACATAGTTATAAAGCAACACTGCACTGTGGGTTTTTTTAGCCTACATATTATGTCTGGCCACTCAGATGTTACTACCTGTCCACTGTTCTTCAATGGCTTTAATTTGTTCATCTGTGAATTTCCAGAATATGGCCAGTTTTTTCCATTCACGGGGTTTTAACTGGTTGTATGCTAGATTCCAAAGGGAGGAACGGATTTGCTTGGTCTGTATACTGTGATCTTGTTTGAAGGAAAAGCTGAAGTCTGAGCCAACATCGCTATGAGCTAGATGTGTCTGAAAAAGAAAGCAGGTGATAAATCTTGTAAGAAAACCTTTGCTTACACACCAGTGGACGGTGTCCTGGACAACCAGATGTAGCTACTGACAGGTGATTTGCTCAGTGCCTGTAAAGGAACCATGTATGGCTCATAGAAACAGAACTGACAAAGTCCTCCCTTTGCCGCTATGCCTTACTAAATTAATTGCAAAATAAGCCACTTTCTTTCTCTGATATTTGATACACAAAAGCAAAGTAACACAAAGCAAATACTGTGCCAGCACTGCTGTGCTCCTTGACTCTGTCTACTTTATATGTCACATTTTGAACATGGTTGGGTTTCAGGCACAGTTCTTACTCTTTCCTCTTGCTTCTAGAAGTGCTGATCTTCCTCTGAGAAGAGGCACCCACCCTCAGTGAGGCACTTGCTCAAGCTGTTCCTGCCTCTGACCTGTCAGCTTCATGTGGCTGAAGTGGAGACTTGCAGATCCTTTGCTGGCAGCATGAGCTATTGGTTTCAACACGCAGAACCCCGTTCAGCAAAATGTCTTAACAGCAATACACACACACACTTTGAACCTGAATCTGGTTTCACTGCCAGATAGAAACCAAAACCAAATGGATTTTACCCTTCAGATTAAGTGATGTTGCTACTGTATGTGTAGCTCACCTGAAACAGGAGTAATGGGGTTGCTTCTTGTTTGGGCACCTTTGTAAAAACCATGTCAATCAGTGATTTCAGCGCTGAGTGGTGCCCAGGGAACAGTCTCATTCCTAAGTAGGTAAGCTCAAACTACTTCTATATTTCATTTTGTTTATGTACTGGTCCTGTCTCAAATCAATCTCCAAAGGGAAAAAATGTCTTCAGGATTTGATAGAGTTGATAGAGGATTACAAAGCAGGTACTAAGCAAAAAAGGAAATGAAAGCATGCCACATTAAAAAGTGCTAAGCATAAAGTGCTTCATTCCAAATTAAATTCAGAAAAACACAACAGGATTATTTCCTATACCTTATGAGAGTCTTAAAGAAAAAAACAGTCTCAGTTCAGTAACTAAGCATTATCATGCATGTTTGATTCCATTCATCTGATGCAACTCTAAAAAAATGTTTGCAGCAGCACAGCTTCGCTTTGCTGCTAATTCTGTTTTGAGGCAATGGCAAGGTGGGATAGTAAAAGCAGCTCTCAAATCCAGTCAAATCCAGCCTGGACAATGATAGGGAAGAGTTGGGTAGAAACAGTAAATAGGAAAAAAGGTCAAACAGAGAGATGACACTCACGCATTAGTATCATGTGCCCTTCGTCACAGCTACATGACATTTCCTTTTGTAACTAATGCTTTGTCATAGATGATAAGTCAGCTCAATGTAACAAAAAGACAGTTCTTAAAATAATGGTTCCAAATGGTGTAGTTTCCTGTGTGGTAACACCACCTGAACAACATCATATTCCACAGCTGTAAGATCTAAGCTGCTCCCAAAGGCTCTGCTCTCAGCTTCAGGCAATAGGATACGAACACTTATCTTTGTATTTCCAAACATCTCTGGTGCTCTTGTAGAAAACCATCTGCTTAACTATCTTTTTTTTCTCTTCAGGCAATTCAGTACACAATGCCAAGAGGTTAGGAGCATTATGGGCTTACTGCTTTCAGACTTGTCATGTCTTCTGTGGCAACAGCTGACTTCACTTCTAATTCCCCTTTAAGCCAAAAGAAACAATAACATAGCTGACAACTCCAGCTGAACTGGTGCAAATCAAATATGCACGATACAGGGCATTGGGGGAGGCACTTTTCATGATAATTAATCTAGATCTGTGATTTACGAGCCCTGTAACATTAAGTGTCATTAATTTGGCCACACAGGGCAGGAGTGGGGTGGTAAAAGCAGCTAATTCTGTGCCTGCACTGGGATGGGATCAGTATGCTTATACACTTAGCTAACTTAGTGAAACAAACACTGCCTGGCAGGAAGCAGGAGTGAGAATGAAGTCACAAATTGGTATGGCAATTTGGCCCTTTAGGGAGGCCCAGCACTATGCAGCCTACATTAAAGTAACAACTAGGGAAAGAAAGTAAGAAATTCAGACAATCTAAGCTGTGTCCTTCACTTTTTGCTGTATTCTTTTCCATTTCATGGAACAGAACAGGGAGCTTCTGCCAAAGCAGCTGAGCCCTTGGTAACAAAGGAGTGACAGACATCTGCACTCCACCGTTTTTCAACCACAGATTCTACTGTACCAAAGGATCCAGGGATCAGCGTGGATCCAGATTATCCCAGCTCTCATGCTGATGGCACAGATTGAATTTAGTTTAGAATCTCCCTCCGCCCCTTTGTCTCTCTTTGTAGAGCACAATGTAGGAAAATGTTAAGATCTGCCTACATTTTTAACAGCTAGTCAGGAATTAAGCCTGCATCTTGCAGCCTGCCAAAAGGAACTACCTCAAGCAAAAGACACTTCAAAATCAGAATTGGCTTTTCCTTTATCGCTGTATTCAGTGTAATGAAAGATGCCTCTTACCTGTTTCACGGTGTAATACCTTTCTGCTTTAATGATCATATCTACAATGAGGGCATGATTGCTCCTTGATGCCACAGCTAGTGCAGTTTTTCCATGCTGAAAGTAGAGACAGTGAATCAGAACATTATCTCAGGTAAGTGTATCATGGAAGAAATGCAAAAACAGTTCACAGAGACCCATCTTTTTTTTTTTCTTTTTTCTTTTTTTTTCCCCCTGGAAAAGGTATTTACTACAATTTTATGGCTTTTGAGTAACTACAATCCAAGTTCTATGCTCTGCATGAGCTCTATCCCCTCAGCCCAGCGGTGGTCAATTTCTTTCCCACACTGGACTTCCCTCTAAAGAATTTCTAGTGAGGTATGGCTGCTTTCAGAAACCTCTTGCACTCAGACTGCTGCATACTTTACACCAGCTCGCACTCTCCAGTCACTGCTTCCGAGTTCACACAAGCCCAGGCATCTTGAATTGAAAATTACCACAATACAATCCATTCCCATGTAATGGTTAAACTGACATTTCAGATGATGGGCTGGCAAAGTTGGAAATTGACTTTAAGGGCAAACTTGTGCCTTGTTTTATTTGGTAAAAGAGGTTAGCTCACAGAATGAAAAGAGAATTACTTTTCTCATGACAACTGAAATAAGCACAACTATAGGATGATGCTTCATGGGTAAGTACGGGCAGCCACAGTAACTAAAAGCCATTGCTTTAAATCCAGCTGCAGAGGTCTGCTCAGTCTACCTGAACCCATCTCTGCTGTCAGCACTTCAGTGTAAAGGCATCTCAGTGGCTCTAAAGGGTTAATTCTGCAGTGGTCTGTTCTCAGATTTGCACTGAGTGTAACTGCCTTGGATTTAAATATTCAGGGTGTTCTCCACATATCAAGTGCTAGGCATTCTAGAAAATTAGACCTAACAGAAGCCAACCTCTTAATTAGAAGATGCAGTAATGAGGTATTTCAACTATCTAGCTGCTATAAAGTTCCCTAGTATACACTTTTTGAGTTGTAGCTCCTAGTTCTGCTCACGATCATTCTCGTTTTTAGAAAAGCATCACATTGGAAGCCAATGAATTTACATTTCATTAAACCTTTAAGGCATAGGCTTGCTTTATATGTGAAGAGTCCAGAGACCATAAGAGCTCCATGGGTTCCACCTCTAGAGGGGTGCTTTACATTTCGCAGGGAGGCAGAGGGGGTGGGTGTTTCTGGCCTCCTGTGCTGGTGCAGGCATGCTGGCATCCTGCATGCACATGTAGCATGGTAGTCTTGCACACAGGGAGCCCTCTGTGCACTGTCACTCACAACCAAAGACAGTTTTATCTGCAGATGGGAAGAAGGAAGAGCTCCTGAGATAGCATTTCCTTTGCTCTAACAGCTTGCAACTCATGCAGATGTATGACACGCTCTGGAGACTGAGGACTCCTGCTGCCAGGGTATGGAGGCCAGGCCAGGCCAAGACAACAGGACAGGACAACACTGTGCAACAGAAGCAGGCCCCCCTTTTTCCTGTCTACTGTTAAGTCAGTTTTGGCATCTCAGCACCAATTCAGTTCAAAGGGGACTGTACTTGCAAATGTTCTCAGTGGAGGTATGGCCTCAGAGGTCATCCAGCAAACAGGCAAGGAAAAAACTACTCCAAGAAATAAAACCAGTGCAGAAAAGTGACACAACTTGTACTGGTTCAGAGCCAAATTCTCATAACAAGTCATGAACTCTATCACGATTGCTGTAATACCAGGGCACTATCTACCCCAAGACTTGTAGGTGCTTAAGGTCATAACAAGCAATAATTGTCTGTGTCTGCTCTTAGAATACAAAGAGGTTGAGAAAATTTTCCAGTGGCTAAGGTGCTGTCTAAAGTGAACAAGATTTCATTCTGGGTTAGCCCATATGAGAACTGCAGCTCTCTGGCAAGTGTAGGCATGATTCTGAATGAAAAAGCTTAATTACAGTGCAGCATCTTACCTCAGCCTTCCAAAACACATCAATGCCCATGCTCAGAGCCCCAAGCCTCTTGTCAGGCTAGGGAAAAATGAGACAATCCTAGTTTGTAAAGCTTCACTTCTCATGAGGACAGTTTTGTGAAGGAAAATTACTTTTTATAAGTTCCTAAAGAGCTAGATTTTTCTCATAATAAACATCAAATCCATCAATTCAAATCCATCAATTCAGTCATACAGAAAATCTGTAATAGCGGTAACTGTAAAAAGGGGAAATTCAATCTAGCAAATTTGTAAAAACTGGGTTTGGTATTCTGTCCTTTAAAAAGCACTTGCCTATCAACTTTGCTTTGGTACTTCTTCCAGCCATTGCTCTTCTTGCCTCAGTCTTTCCAGGCTGAAGGGTATAAACCAGAAAATAAAATCATATAATCCTTGCATGTGTGAGGAATGCAATTTACCTTATCCATGGCCTTGAGATCACATCCTGCCTTAAGCAGCACTTCCACCAACTCCACATTACCAAGATCAGCTGCCAAATGCAGAGGGGTTTCCTGCCTCTGGAATTATAGACACCAAATAAATGTAATACATCAAACTCCCTCCCAGAAGCAGAATGCTCTCAGGCTGAATCTAAAATTGATTCACAACAAGAGGCAGCCTTAGTGAGAAAACACAGAATGAAATAATTTAACTTCTGAGTGATCTACCTGCCAGTTTTATTTCAGGTAAACAAGACAGCACATGGGATCTCTGTAGGAAAACCTGACAGAAGTTCCAGCTGGCTCAGGAAAAGTTGCCGTAATGCCCCTCTAATGTATCATAAACTAACAAGTTCTCTCTCTCTTCCCTCTTAAAGCAAGGTGTTTTGGGCAGAGTGCTTCATGCAACTGCCAACCTGCATCAATATTATCCTCTCCAGTAACCTCTTCCCTGCTGAAATGCGTTCCAAGACAACTAGACATCCATAATTTTCAACATTATGATGCAACATCCACAACAGGGCTTTTTAGCGAGCCCTGCCACAAAATGATGATGAGTAGCAGAAGTCTACCTGTTTCCTAATGAGTTCAAACACTGCTCAGCAACAGTTTTAACTCTGGTGTCTTACTAGCATGGTTTAGTCACAGATCTAAAACACTGCACCCCGTGGGTTGCTTTAAAAAAAGATTCACTTCTTTCCAGTCAAATGCCACGCTGCACTGGGTTTCCCTCTGAGGTCAATACCATTGAGACAAATATTTCTGTCGTTTATTGCACATGAACCGTAACACTTGAACAATAAATTAACCCATTATCCTTATCTTCCACAAACAATATTTGCATAGCATGTACCAGTGACTAATACAAGCAAAAAGATAAGGAGGGAACCGCCTCTTCCTTCCTACTTTTTTGCACTCTGAGCTTATAAGGCAAAAAAAAAATTCAAGCAAAATCCACATAATCTCTTCTTCACCAATTAAATTGTGTTAATTCTCAGTTTTTCTTACATTGTTTAAGGAGTTTATATCATGATTGGCATCCAAAAGGCTTTTTACTACTGGTAGGTTGTTACCAATGACTGCTAAATGGAGAGGGGAATTCTTCTGCTGTGGAGGGAAAATAATAAACTGTTATACTTGGGTACATTATTAGAAGTTTATTCAAACAAGAGGTTTGAATTTAAAACTACCCATTGCAAAGGCAATATGCTCTAGCAGAGCTTCAAGATTGCAGAAAACACATCTCAATGTGCAGTTATACCAGAGATGGTAGCCTGCTCCTACAGCATCAGGTAGACAAATACAGCTGAGAAAACAGAAATATGGAGTTGCATCAGTGTGTCACCATTTAGGAATGCGGCAAGGCTCTCCTCTTAAATGTTCCTACCTGGGATGTGCTGCTATCCTTGGCAGAGAGATAAGGGTAATGTTAGGGCTCCCTCAGAACATTGGGTTTGCCCTTAGTTGAATAGCCTGAAGACAGATTTATTCTGTATTTGGTAAACGGATGTCAAAACCTACTTTCCAGGAACAAACACATTGCTGCTAGAAATATTCTTTGTACTAAACTGACTTGCTGTCATATTTAGAGCAAGTTACAGCTGGTAAGAAATTAAGGGGTTTTATTTGAGTGATTATTTATTAAAGTAACTGGGCACAGGTCCAACACCAGTCACAATCCAATCATCTGGTTGGCAAGTTCACTTTGGATGTTGAACCTGTGACTCATCAATTTCTTGTGAAATACAGTTAAAGAATAATTCCATACCAGTACCATTCATGGGTGCCAGACACCAGTTCGGTGTCTTTATAAAACACAGCCATTTCTTCAGGGCTACAGAAAAATAAAGGAAGCTCTTATGCAACACCCTGCTGGAAATGTTTTCAAAATATAAATTATGATTGTATGAGTTGCTTCTCCTACAGAAAGCCAATGAGAACAAGTAGCAAAACAACTGCCCAAACTTTAAATCATTTCCAGCACATCATAAATTTTTCTTCCTTGATAACTTCCTGCAATAGGCCAGTGATCACTGCCTGTCATGAAGCCGAGATGCCATTTTCATCCTGTGCTGTAGAAATGGAAAATAATTTCCTGTTCATAGCAAATCTCAGGTGTAACAAAAACTCTAATATCTAAACTGAGAGAAGATTTGCATAATATAAATACCCCTTCTTTTTAAATCCCAAAGAATGGTGGCATGCAGATTTTGAGGCCATTGAGTGTGCATTTACCTTCAAAGGGTGACAACACCAAAGTGTTTATGTACCTTCTAGTTATCTTTATTCAAAATCCATTACGAGTGTTAACTCCTTGCCCACAGCACCCAGGGAGGCCTGCTTTGCTAGTTCAAGCAGGGTACTTTGCTCATCTTCTCCTTGGCTTAGCCTGGCCATGTCTACACTGCACTGGACTAGTCTGCTCAGGCACTCCCTGGGTTGTGCAACAGGACCTTGTCTCTATTGGTCTATACATGTTGCTAATCAATATCCCAACTAAGTGATAACGTGTATAGTATAAAATTCAAGGAGCTACTCAATCTCCTTCAGCCGTCTGAATTCCAAGGAAGGCCACAAAAGACAGGACAGGCTGAGCAGCAGCAGAACAGTTATTCCGATATACACTCACCTCGGGTTTAGGAACCAGGTCAATATTCTTATCAATAAGAAAAGTAACCAAGGATAGATGTCCATTCTGAATTGCAACCTGCAAAGCACTGCTATCATTCTGAAAGAAATTTTGATAGACAGCAAAAACTTACATTTTTATTGCTAAAAAAAAAACAGTACTAAAAAGAGCTACAAATATAGGATAATCTTCCATTTAAGTTTGTGTTATTATCCTCTCTGTGAAAAAAAAAAAACCTTTGATAAAATGATACAAAAAGAAGTGGATCAGCAGTCAGGATGATGTGCAATTGCTTTTGTCAATAGTGAAGGAATTTCCCATTTTTACTATATCACAACAAATATGCTAAAGAACACCAGTATCCAACAGCCCTTTTCAATTGTCATCTATACTGAGCCATGGACAACAACAATATCAATACACGTCCTAGTCTGTTAGCTAGCCTGTTAGACCTTTACCAAGCAAGTACACTCACATTAACAAACTTTAAAAATAAATCCATAGAACATTTTTACATAATAATTCTGTGTAAACAAAAAAGCTCTCAGTCTACTGGAATCATAATCCTCTTGCAGCAGGCAAGCCAAGGCCATTCAGCAGATGCGAGTTGGACCAAAGTCCAGGAACCAGATGTGGATAACAAGAACAAGAACATCAGATCAGTCACTGCCAAAACATAGGATTTTCAGTTACCCTAGTCTGCTACATTTTCTGGTCATATGATGTACTATTGGGCATACAGTAAATAAATTCCACCACAGTACTCTTTCAAATAAATATAATGCTATTTTTCTTCCACATCAGTTTTATTCTGTTACTACTCTCTACATTCCCCATTCTACTTTATTATTTTTCCCCATTTCATAAAAATAAGCAGAGCGAATACACTTTTAGTACACAGAGAAAAGGGAATATAATGTCCTTCCCACTGCCTGGGATGTCCCACTACCTGTGTGCTGTGTACATACCTGAGTTAAAACATTGATGTCACTCCCTGCATCCAGTAAGAGTTCAGCACATTTTTCATGACCTCCTTTAACAGACAAGTAAAATGGAGTTTCTCCGTTCTAGACCAAAAGAGAGAAAATGTCTGTTCCCATTTAAGCCACGTGACTAATAAGACTGTGACACAAAACACCTCTGGTAGGCTCGATCAGGCTCTTCCAGCTCAGTAGAAAAGGTGAGATGGTCCCAAGAGAACACAACCTGAATGCTCCTAAATTAGCACTTGAATGATGTGGCAACTCACCAACAGTTCAGTGACAGATGGCATTTATGTGGACAGAGGTACAGTAACGTTTAATACAGATACAGAAAAATATTTAATAACTATTCATATATTAATATTCATAAATATTAATCATGTTCTTTTCAAAGAAGACTGCTGAAAACAGGCAAAGAAACAAAGATGGTGGGTAGCAGTTGTTGCCGTTCAGCAACAGCATGATAGAACATACAGTAAGTACTGAATTCTGTCAGTATAATGGATTTCTGACAAATTGCAAACACCTAGTGCTACTTATAAGGAGGATTTTTAATAGAAATAATCTTATTTCATATCTATTTCAAATCTTCTCACACCAAAAGAGTCTCCATGTCTCCACAACAAGTCTCTAAAATAGCTTACATCAGCTGCACAATGATCTACTCCCTGCTTCTAAACTCCTAAAATACACAAAGGTTTAATAAAAATTACTCTAGTGTTTTAACATTCACAAAAGCTTTAATAAATCCTGTTTGTACTTTGCTTAAAATCCTCACACCATTATTCTGGTAAACTGAATATATTTTAGTACTTTGCTCATGCTATGGAAAGAGAGATCAGTTTCTACACCACCCAGAATATGTCCAGCTGGAGGGGAAGGTCACTCCATTAGCCATAGCAAGGCAGGGGCACAAGCAGTACAAGCTTTGTGTGCAGAAGCAACATTCTTAGACAAGGCTTGGAAACAAAAGGGCTCCACATTTCAAAGAGGCTTGTGTGCCTCTTCAGCTTGCATAGCTGAAAATAGCAGACAAGTTGGGTAAGAGAGAACCTCTCCACCCACAAATCTGTTGCTGATAAAGGAAGAAGAGGGCCTCAGGTAGGAGTGGGTGTCCCTTTCTCATTTCACCCTCTGGGCCAGCAGAACAGACCATCAGCCACACAGTATGTTCCCACAGTGGGCATGACAGCCCACAGCAAGGGAAAGTACCTTGCTCAGTTTGTTCTAGCTGCCCCACAGAAGAAACAGAAGACACAAAGACACTTTGGAAAGCAGGAAAGCTGAGATGAGCAGCTAGTGTGCATTTCCTTTCTTTACTCCTTGCTTAAGCCTCAAAATTAAGCTCATGACTGCATCGACTCAAGCATACAACCTTCACAGCTAATATGCAACTGATGAATATGTCGGCTGAGCTCACCAACACTAACCCAGGAAAGCAAAAGCGGGTAGGCAGTGTTAGAGCCAGTTTCATGCAGGCAACTGAGTTCAGACGGCAAGGTGCAAATCTGAGACCTTGCTGAGGTATCTATGATGGTAAATACTTGGTATGCAAGTTGAACTGGTCCAGTGAATAGCTTGAAAAGCACCAGAGATGTTAAAAGGAATGGGATCACATGGTTAAAAATGCTGGACAACAGAAAGGAAAGTGGAGGTTAAGGCCTTTCTGTGTTTTCTTCTACCAGTAGTTATGCAAAGGCATGCCAAATGGAGGGGAGGTCATTGTGTGAGGAATAGAGGACAGAGGAAGAGACATTGAATGAGTTAACAGAGGTGAATTTATTGGACAAGGAACAAGGAAACAGGATGCAAAGGTACTAGAAAAGCAGCAGAACTAAGGAAGTCCACTCATTGCCACATCTATTCTTTTGAAAATTTTTTTTTTTTGACAATTTTTCATGTCTCTAATTTTATCTCTTTCAGTAGTTTCAGTGTCCTTACCTGATTGAGGTCATTTATTTCCTCCCACTGTTCAAGCAGAATTTCTACAACTTCACTGTGACCATTTTTGGCTGCTAAATGCAGTGCTGTGTTTCCCTCCTTGAAATAAAAAAGTCAAATAATATTAAAATTTTAAAACACAGAATAAAGTAAATATATTAACTAAAACCAACACAAAGCCTTTGGTCTTTTACATACAATTCTCTCTTACGTTCAAGGAGAAGGAGGCAGATCCACAAGACACATTCCAAGATTGAGACTAACTGGAAAAGGGCCTTTTCACATGTAGGCAGACATGATCTTGTTGATCTAGCTGGTTTTCTGAAAACTTCAGCGTGTACCAGCAAAAAGATTGGGTTCCGCAAATATGGGTACTACACCAAGCCCTCAAGACCACTGATTTAAAGATTAATGGCCAAAACCTGGGTAAGCACATTTGTAGTTGTATTTCTGTGGAAAAGAAATCTTTACCTTATCTTTTTCAGATGTGAACAGTTTCAGAGCAATCAAATTGTTTATCATGTCAACATGGCCTTTCTCAGAAGCCAGAAGAAATGGCTTTTTACCTTTCTAGAAAACAATTATGGAAAGAAACATAGTGTTAGAGAAAGTAGAAATACTTGCTTCTGGTTACTAGATTCATGGCATACATATGTGCACATGTATCCTACATAAAAATGTATGTATCATAAGACTAAGGAGATTAATAGAATAGTAGATGTACACAAGAAGATTAATAACTAAAAATATATAGTTAGTGTAAGTAAACAGATTATACATCTTGCATATCCTGAAGAAAATATATGAAAACTGTTTAGAAATGGTGAAAATGTAGAAATTATGCTCAAAATATTTAAATCTTAATTCTTCTCAGCATGAAAATATTTATCGAAAGAACATTAAAAGTCTGAGGATGCTCAGAAACAGGTAGTAAAGAAAATGGCAAGATTTATTTCCATGGTGTAACATGTATGATTTGAATTCTGTAAGCACAGACCAGAACTAACATATCTCAGAAGTTTCATCCTGGAGGCCCGAATTTAGAGCTGCATGTTTTGGGGGTTTTTTGGGTGGTGTCTAAATTTCAAACTGTTTACAATTCAACTGCAGAAAGTTATCTTCACATAAATCCATACCACTGTTCAGACAGTGAGGCACTTAACCAACTAGTTAAAACAGCCTCATCTCATATCTGATAGTGGCCTATATAAATGTGTAAGAAAAAAAAATGCAGGCAACTAATAGAGAATTATGAAACAACCTCAACAAAGAGAAGATGCTTCTTCACCTTTCTTTTCCCAAGGCCTAAGACAAAAATGTTTATTTTGTTAAATTAACTCTGTTTTGTCAGCCTTGTCATGTGTAAAAAGAATTCAGAATTTTGGGTCAATAAAGTTCAAGGCTGAAAAAAAAATAAAAGAAGGGAGATCTGTTCTTTTGATGACAGATCTCACAGGAATAAGTTTTCCTCATGTAAAAATATAAAATATCCTACTTAGCTATGTAAGCTTTCAAAACAAGATCCCAACATTGTGGAAAGGGAAAATAAAAACACAGCAAACCTGATGAGGATGAGGTTCTGGCACTGTTGAAGAGTTGGTGCACCTTTGTAGAATGGCTGCACAGAGTTTTAGGTTCTATCTTGAAAAAATACGCCCATGTTGGCCATAACTGGCAGGTTTTGGTAAGGGCAGGGGGCTGTGTGGGAGGACATCAGAGACTGCCCTTCCATAGCCATTTACAGCTGGCTCCACAATGGAATGAACTGTCCCACCACGTGCCAACACTCAAGCCATCAGAGGAACACATGATATCTCTGTGAAAATGTATTTAAGAAAGGCTGGTCGCTGCTACAGGGAGGAGGCACAAGGGGAGATACAGGAGGAGACATGAGAGGATGCAAGAGAGGAGACACAAGAGAAGGCACACCTGCAGGGAGACTGCAGCTCATGGAAGAAGCTTGCTGAAGCAGAGGAAAAGAGTAAGAAACAAAGAGCAGAAAAAAAGGAATCCACTGTGGACTGGCCCCAACCTCCTCTGCCTCCCGTTGCCTCACCAATGCAACTGAACATCACATGCAGCAAAAGCAAGGAGAGCAGGGGAGGAGAAGTTTCTGCAGTTCAACTGAGATAATCAAAGAAGGAAAAAAGGTGTTTTCTCCAAGTGCTTGTCTGGCTTTTTGTTTTACTTGTTTCTCAATATTAAAGTCAGTAATTAAAAGTTTATGTAACTAGCAATAAATTAAAATTAATTGAACTTCCCCAAGTCAGGATTGTTTTGTCCTAAACAAAAGCCTCATGATATCAAAGAAATAAACAGAAAGAAACACACTGTACCGCATCAGGCTTGTTCAAGTCATTCAGATGAAGTTCTTGGAGAAAATAATCAACTATTTTAACGCTGTTGTTCTGAGCTGCAAAGTGCAGTACATTCATTCCTTCCTGAAAAACCATAAGTGACTCTGTAAGAATAAGTTTGATTTTTTTTCCCAAACAAACATGTTTAGAGTTGATAAAAATTTGTCATAACAAACCTCATTCTTAGCCTTTTGATCAGCACCTGCTTTAACTAATTTTCGCATTATATCCAGATTTCCAGTCCAAGCTGCAAGATGAATCACTGTCAGGCCATGCTTCAAATAAAGTTACAAAGACAGAAATTACTGTTAGGAATTGGATTTTTTAATTGCCTTAAAACATTGCTACTGTAGCAAGCTGTGCAAAGAAGCCTCATGCCGGGAGACTGAAGATAAAGGCTGAGGGGAGGGGGCCTAGCCCACAAACTCTTAACTTTGTGGAGGCGAGTGGGGAGTCTCTGAGTGTGTGATGTGTTTCTCCTATGAGCCAGACCATGTCAAAGGGGTCCTTCTGTGCACACACCCACCACTACCCCAAGAAGGCCTCATTCTGAGCAGGGGTACCTCTGAAGCAGCCCCCTGCCCCAGCCTAAATGACTGGGAAAAAAACAGCACCTCCAGCCTCTGACCCAAAACTTACTTCTGTCTTGCAGGGTGGATTGCAACAACTACCACCAAAACACCTCACACCAAATTTCTTTAAATCTTACTGATTAATTCAGTGTATCAGGTTCTGCTCTGCAGGCTCTTGGAAAAGCAATATTAACACCTAGCAGTATGAGTGGAATTAAGGAAAATGTAATGCAACAAGACTTATCTAAATGTTTAGTGTGTCCTCTTCTTGACAGAAGGTCTGGCATTCCAGAGACGGACTGATCCCATTTTAAGGAAGGGTGGGAGGAGGAGAGGGGGTACTAAATACTACCTGCAAATTATTCTCTCTCTCTCCAGAAACTATGTAGATATTTAGCCCTGGGTGCAGCGGATGACAAATCAGGTGACTATATGTAGTGGCTCTATATCCAGGAGTCACCATAATTTTCCATTTAGACTTTTTAAGGTCCTTTTCTCTCAAATTCTCTAAAAAATATTTCTATTATAGGGGGAAAAAAGAGAAAAAAGAAAAAAAAAAGAAAAAACCACCCTAACTTAGAAACAAAAGGGCTAACTCTACTCTGTGCTGATGCAGCCTCATCTTGAGTCCTGTGTGCAGTTTTGGATGCCACAATACAAGAAGGATACAAAGCTGTAAGAGAGTGTCCAAAGAATGGTCACAAAGATGGTGAAGGGCCTTAAGGAGAAGCCATACAAGGAGCGGCTGAGGTCACTTGTTTTTTTCAGCTGGGAGAAGAGGAAACTGAGGGGAGACATAGCAGCCTCCAGCTTCCTCGTGAGGAGAAGTGGGACAGCAGGTACTGACTGATCTCTTCCCTGTGGTGACCAGTGACCGGATGAGGTGATAGTGACTTCAGGGTACTACTCATAAACTATTCATTGAGTAAGAAAACAGTACAGGATAGAAGAGACTTCTGGAGGTCCCACTGCTATAGCCTCTTGCTCAAAGCCTGTCCAACCAGATTAGGTCACTCAGGACCTTCTCCCGGTAAGCTTTGAATAGCCTGAAGATTAAGACTAAAAAACTCTCTGTAAAATCTGTTTCAGTGTTTGACCACCCTGACGGTGAATTTTTTTTTTCTTCTTCTATCTAATTAGGACCTCCCATGTTGCAATTTGAGACCATTGCCTCTTGTCCTGTCACTGTGCACCTGTGAGAAGAGTCAGTCTGTCTTCTCTGTATTCTCCCCATATGTAGCTGCAGACAATAAGGTGTCCCCTTTACCATTCTTCTCCCAAGGCTGAGCAGGCACACCTCTCTCAGCACCTCCTCATACACAGTTCTAATCATGCTGCAGTTCTAATCATCCTAGAGGCTCTGCACAGGAGTACAGTCTATCAGTGTCTTTCCTGTATTTGCAGAAATTGCAGTGGAAAACAGTGGAGGGCAATATGGAACATGCATCTGGTGTGCAGGCTATGAGACAAATCTAGGCTTGGGCAAAATTTGTGACTGTTTCAAAAGTCTGCCCTGAAAAGCCTTCCTAAGTATGAATAAGGAGAAAAAGTAACTAGAATTGTTAGCCTTACACAATGAGACTAGTGGATGAGGGGAGAGACATGAATGTTTATCTCAACTTTCATAAGAGTTTTGACACTGTCCCTCATAACATCCTTCTAGACAAACAGAAGTACAGGTGTAGGCAAACAGGTATACCAAGTTGTACTGAAAGCCAGCTGAACTACCAGGCCCAAAATGTTCTTTGATTAGTAACACAAAGTCCAGATGGAGGCCAGTCACAAGCAATGCGCACATTGATCCTGGGTCCAGCACTGTTTAACATCTTCATTAATGACCTGAATGATGGGGCAGAGTGCACCTGCAGCAAATTTATAGGTGGTATTAAATTGGGAGGAATGGCTGATAGACCAGATTGGTGTGCTACAATACAGGGGAACCTTGACAGGCTGGAGAAAAGGCCTGGTAAGAAGATAATGAAATTGTACAGGGAGAAATCCAAAGTCCTGTACCTGAGGGGAAGCAAACTCAGGCAGCAGTACTGACTGGGGCCAACTGACTAGAAAGCAGCTTGGCAGAAGAGGACCTGAGGCTCCTGGTGGACATTAAGTTAAACATGAATCAGATGTGCCCTTGCAGCACGCAAGGCAAATTATATCCTTGACTGCATTAGGAAGGGCACTGCCACCTGGCCAAGGGCAGTGATCCTTCCCCTCTACTCACTGGTGAACCACACCTCTAGTATCGTGTCCAGTTCTGGGCTTTCCAGCGTAGGAGGGACATGCCCCAGGGACATCTGACATATGAGAAGATGTTTAGCAACATGGGACTGTTTAGTCAAAGAAGACTTGGGTGGATCTTATCATTGTGCATAAATACCTGATGGAAGGGAGTGAAAAAGAACCATCCAGATTCAGTGGTGTCCAGTGACAGGGACAGAGGCAATGGGCAGAAACTGAAGTACAGGAAGATTAACTTCAACATAAGAAAAATCTTTTTTGCTCTAAGGATGATCAAACACTGGAATCAATTGCCCGGAGAGGTTATGGGGTGTCCATCCTTGGAGATAATCAAAACCTGATTGGACACAGCTCTGAGTAATCTGCTCTAATCAGGAGGCTGGACTAGGTCATCTCCAGAGGTTGCAACCTCAGTCAGTTTATATGATTCTCTCTGTGTGCTATTTGGCAGAGGGGAGTCTGGGAGGAGAAAAGGAAGTACAAGGGTAGGAAAAAGGTGGGCAAAGGAAAAGACAAAAAAAAAGGCAAATAAGGCATAAAATCATATGGAAACCAAAAACGTGGAGAATTGTGTGATTGTGAACTCCTGCGCTAAGGGTGATAAGATGACCTGCAGACCCAAGCTCCCTCCAATATAGCGAGGGACTGCCTTGGACTCTTCATTGGATCCACCTCTGAAATAGTTGGGATGGTAGGATGGATAAGAACAGATAAACTTCTACCTTGATATTAAGTGCAGAAGGACAAGAATTGCAGCTTTGTATCATAAGATCTCTTTTCAGTAATTCTGTATCAATGCTAAAAATGGTAACAAACAATAAAATTGTAACTCAATCACTGCAGCTTGGGATTGATATAGTTGTGAATTAATACTACTAATACTATTAATACTAATTAATAATACAATTAATAGTGGTGTGTTTATTGCCAGTTTCTTAGAAATGTGTTTCTTAATCAATAAACATCTTAACTACCTCCATGAGTTACATCAAGTCGCCAATCTAGAGATGGGAGCAACACTTATCTGCTGCTAGGAATGCTGCTCTGTGTTTTTAGCTTATTTTTTGTACTGAGCAGTGTTAAGAGGGCTTAAGACTTTATGCTTATTAATACAAAAAGTATGTCAGAAATCAAGTCACAATGTCTTCATGCTATTTCTTATCAGCTGCCAAGATCAAACTGATTGCCAGAGAGTACATGAATCACTGTCAAATACAAGATGTAATGTCATAATATTTAAGTCCTGTAAGCTAACTATGATGGAACGCCTCCAATGGTCTTTCAAAATGATGATAAGCAACATCTAAGAATTAAAGACATTTAATAATTTAAGGGTAATCTTTAGTTAGAATGAGATTCTAAATGTCTAATAGAAACCCCAACATGCGTGGAGGGTTCCACTGGGGCTTCAATGCAACTTATCAGGGTAATGAAAGGACCAATAATATGTTTTGAGTCACCTCATTGCCTCAATAAATCTGAAAGACGGCTAGTGAAAAATAATTTGCCATAAAGGATAATTTACAATAGATACAGAATAAAATTTACACTATACCCACTGGTACTCTGTGGAAGATCCAGGGATCCATTTCTTAACTGTTAGAGAGCACTAATACTTGAAGAAAACTTCTTGCAGTACTTTTCCATTAGCATTTATATTATAGACAATTAATTTTAAACTTCCATTCAGGCAATGTCTTTCAGCTTGCCAGACAAATGGGAAACGTTGCTTATAACAGTGCAAGATCTGCTTAGGAGTTGATAGGGTCCAGAAGGAGGATATATTTCTTCAGAGCAGCACATGAGGTATTCACTGACAGAGCAGCTCAGGAGCACATTTCAGAGCAACTCAACCAGCATTAACAAGGAAATGGTTACCTACACTGCAAGAACATGCCAAAGCCATGAGCCACTGATAACTGCAACTGACAGATCTCTCTCATCTTATTTTCATTCCAGCACAATGTGAAAACAAGGCAGCTTTCTCCCTCCACTCTCCACAACCTGGCATTTATCTTATTTATAACTTAAACACTGCTGCATATGGTGGATAAGAAGTAAACAGCAGAAAAAGGTAAAGGTAAATTCATCAATTTTCATTAATCAGTTCAATGGAAAACTCCTGGTTTGAATAGCATATTTATTAATAACACATCATACATTTGGTTTTAATATCTGACTCAAATCTTGCACTGTGGATCACCATCTGGCCCAAGCAAATCAGCCATACACGGATAAACATTAAACATCTTGGAGGCTGCAGAGCAGCTGACAGTTTTGCACTAAGCTACTCACATAAAAATGGAGGAAAAGACTACAAGGAGTACTTTCTGAGCCGCTAGTGATCCCCATAGCTCATTTTTACTTTCAGTGATCGCTTTCATATAAAGTGGCCCATGATTAATTTACAAGTACCACAGACAGTGTATTTCAGCCACCCTTAGCCAGTATTCCAGGCAACATGTTTTTCTCTAACAACCTTTTTCACATAAATGTGTGAAGTTCTAAGGCAAACTGGAGTTTTTACAGCAAGCATTTAACTTTGCACAACTGGGAGCAGAAGATAAATATCTACTTTCACTTTTTCCCTAAGGTGTTCCTATACTGTGTGAATCAAAACAAGCAAAACAGCTTACCTGATCTGATATGTCAAGCCTAGCCTTGTGATGAAGAAGAAAATCCACCACTGATACATGACCTCCCGCAACAGCAAAATGGAACGCGGTGCGCTTCAGCTGAAATAAGCAAAGCTTTGTTTGTCAGGTCTGTAATACAGTTCTTTTCCCTGTGCAGGTGATCAGGATTTTGGAATTCTCTGATTATTACCAAATGTCCCTGTTACTATATACTATTTCATATTTCTCCTTCAACAGTCACATTAAGTCTTTATCTACGTTTTTCTTCCCTTGTGGATAGAATTTAAGTATCGATCTTGAGAGAATTCTTTTAAAAACAGAATGGTTTAGCTAGTCTACATAGCATTGTTCCTTCACTGAAATGTCCTAGTGGGATGAAGTATCAAACACCGCCGAGAGAAGATGAATGCAGTACGAGAAGCATCCTTGTTTACTATTTTATTATATGGATTGATTTGAAAAGCTGAGATCTAGATTTACACAATTAGATTTGCTTCTCATATCCTCCTTTTCACTAAATCTCTGCAAAGCACGACAAGATTTCTCCCTCATTCAGTGTTAGTCACCTTCCCAGACTGAGTCATTATCTACATAAGTCAAAGCTACCATCTTGCCAGCAGTGAGTAATTTTACACAGGTAAATAGGTTCAGTGCTTATCAGGAAGACTTGATTAATTGCTCTGTAAAGTAATTAATGGTCTGAATTTAAAAGGGATTGTTAAATTGAATTAAACTTTAGTGGAGGGAGTTTGCTTTCAGTTAAAGTCAACATAACTGGCTTTAATATAATTCACTAATAGTTTCCATACAAGGAAGAATAAAGAGATCTAACCAATTAACTTTAAAAGTAGGTTTTGATTTGTTCTCTTATTCTTCTCTGCAGATCATCTGACTTATTCATGTGTAAGTTTAAATTTAAAGTGATATGCATTAAAAACATAAAAAGGTGGGATTTACAACGTGTATTTATGCCAGAAAAAAACTCTTGCACAGAAATAGTACTATAAAAACTCACCTTTTGACAGCCTTGCTTATTTGGCTTGGGAGTACAGGGGCAGGAATGATCAACATGAACAAAAAGAATGGCTTTGCCCGTATAAGCTACACCCCTATTAGGAGAATCAATCAAAGCACAACCCCCACATAGCTATGCTAATAACTCTCTCATAATACAAGTGTGATTTAAGGATGACAGAATAAAGTTTCAAACTACTTGACTGGAAATGTATTTAGTTTAATTTCCTAAATTCTGGCAAGCAATAAGGAAGCAAGAACTATTTTACATGACTTTTTAGAGTACTATGCAATTGATGGGAACACTCTCGCTGTTCAAAAGAAGTTTATACATAAGAAAATTTTGTCTCCCTCTCTTTTTCACAAACAAACCAGAGAATTCACATGTACTATTGAACATTCTCCAGTGGGGGAAAATGAACACAGTCATGGGAAAGAAAGTTTTTTTAGAACCTGTGGTTAACTTTGGATGTTCATGGATAGATGATTTATATGTAGCCACTGAGGGCATGCTATTATCCACAACTCCCAGTTTAATGTCATGACCACTCTGCTGCTGTTGAACTACTTCTCATGTTGAATACAGCACTATATTTTGTTACTGTGAAGTACACATCCTCAGATTTTAGGCCCAGAGTTCAAGGCAGCATAAGAAAAGCATTTTCATCTCTCTGGGCATAATATGAACTCTGATCTCAGCCTGGAGCTAGAGGATGTGATAGAATGCTCCCACGGTTCCATACAAACCAAAGGGTAATACTTCACCCTTGAAATTTTTGATATTAGTAGCAAAAATTAATTCTTGATGAGGTAAAGTCGTCCCACTCTAAAAGATGGGGAACTTGAGAAATTGGTCACCCAAGAACACTGAGGAAATATTATAGTAGGGACACAATTGAGAAGTCCTTATTTCCCAATGTGATACCCTGACTAGTGGCTAAATGCAAAAACCTGTGAGTTATGCTGCACAAATCCTACTGTTCATGATGGATGTGTGAAATGTTTCTTAATTAGGTCCTAGAGGGGACTCCCACAGTTCCACCACCTTGCAGTTGATGGGACACACCAGCATGCTGGCATTCCACCAAGCAACCCCAAGGAGTCACGTTTCATAGCAGTGATCTGTCAGGCACTTCATACTCACAGTATCTACAGCATTTAAATTAACATTCTTTTTAAACAGCTTTTCCATGGTTTCCAAATTGTTAATTTTAGCAGCATATTGAAATTCTCTCTCATCTGGCAATACTGTGGAAAAACATGATGAAAAAATTGTATTATTAAAAAAATAGCCACAACCAACATAAGGGTAATGATACTTTTCTTACTTTCTGCTATTTGTCCTGATTTAATGTTACAAGAATAATTTGCTTCTCATCATAGCAGTGTTTCTGGACTACCTTTTTCTCCTCTAGAAATATTTGGCTAGTGTTTCTAGTTTCAAATTTTAAGTGCAAATAAAGGTAGTTCTGAAACATTTCAGAACATGGATTACCTTTGTTTGCACTGCTCACAGGAACAGTTCTTTTACAAAGCTCTTGCCATCTAAATGGGTCCCAAATTATTTTATAGGCATACCAGTGAATGGTACAAACTGCAGCATTTATTTCTTGTTCTTTTGAGAAGCTGCTCTGTTTTAAAACACAACACACCACCAAAATACAAAAAAATCTAAAGCAGTAACCACATGGCATGACACAACTGGAAAAACAAAACAAAACAACTGAAACTAACCAAACCAACCAGGTTTTACAGGGGGCAAAAAGAAACAAACAAAAAGGTGTCTACTTGAACCCAAAATCTGGCCACAATGTGACATTCACTTTTAAACTGAGACCTTTCCTCAATGTCTCAATTCAAAAATGAACATCTGTTTGGTCAGCTAAAGTAGCTGCAACAGCATGTTCAGTAACTTTGGAAAGTAATATGCCAGTACCTTACAACTGGTTTAGCTGGGGGTCAGAGTATTTTTCATGTTTCTACCTTAACATTTGATTTATCACTTAGAAGAAAATAGCATAGCGGTTAAATCACTTGCAAAAATGTTAGTAGATATCTTTAATGCCCTAGCGTATCACACTTGTAATATAATTACTTAGATATCTTCTGTCTAGAATATTTTGCCCTGAAATCACTTGTCCAATGATACCACCAAAGAGGACAGCACTCTGTTGAACCAGGAACTGCAGCAATTAACTATTCCTTAGAGGCCTCTCAGGCAAATTCATCCTACTGCATTATGTCTAGGTTCATTAATGCCTAATAAGAACACAGCTTGAGGCAGTATGACTGCAGAGCATACTAAGGAAAATCAGTATAGCATTCACTTAATTGCATTTCACACGTTCCCCATGGCTATAGTCTCAGGGGGAATAATCACAGTTGTACCGTAACAGAATGAGTTAGAAATTAGACTGGATACTTGCAAAGGTATTTCCAGTTTTCATATGAAATTATCCAAGCACCTCAAACAAATGAAACAACCTCCCAAATTTCTCTGCAAATCATAGAATATGTTTTGCTTGTATTACAACATGGGGGCACAGGGGAAAATAAAAAAAAGAAAAAAAAAGCAGTTCCAAATAAAAAGGCACCCCTGGCATCTGTGACAAGGAGCATGCCTGACTGGAAAATCATCATTATGAACTTTGGGATCTTTGATCTACAAACAAAAGAATCTTTGAAGAATAAATTTCTTACTCCTAGTTTACATAGTCATTACCCAAAGAAGTATCCACCAGAGCTTTCCACTAACTTAATTTCAATTCAGATAACAATGGTCAGAGGACACCTTGCTCAAGACAAATCTGTGGCAAATGTGGAAACAAAATGTACAGCACTAAGTAGCTGCAATTAGTTACAATTAGGCCACATTTGTTACTGCTGATGAACATCACACATATGTCTTACTTGAGAATGCAAAAATAAATGCACCTCAGGACATTCATGAACAACCCCAAGCGTTTACTCAACACTGCCTTCAAGAAACAAGAGAAAATTATGTTTCTTTAATGTATCTGCATCGGACACAGTACTGCAAGGACAGTTCTGTTGTAGTTCTGACAAAGAATTAATAACTGATCTTTTCTCTCCTGTCCAGGCTGTTAAAAGACCTTCTGTTCCAGGCACCATGTTTCTTAATAATCTCTCTCTTAATACCTCTTGTTAATTCATGAGTTAAGAACAGTGAGAATCCAGACATGCAATGACACTGATTTGTTGCCCAAACTTTTGCTGCTTTTGCAAACTGATTTTTTTTTTCCCATGTATGAAATCACAGGAGTACAAAGCTGTCAGACTACAGATTTATGGAAGCTCTGGGGTCTCCAGGACTTGGCGCTCCCTGTGTTACCAGTAACCACTCTATTTTCAAGTAACGGTAGCAATCAATTATCTACTTGAGGTTGTCAGGGTTTTTTAGGGGGTATTTTCTATGGCTTCATACAAAATGTCTGGCTTATTGCCCTACAGCTTGTATCATAACTGCATATTTATATTATAACAATAAAATAGTTATATTCAATTTCCTTTGTGGAGAGTCCTGGCAGCAGTATATTGAATGTCCCAACATTGTTCATCTCTTAGAAGGGCAAGAAAATAAAAAGTGCAGAAAAGTAAATAGCTTTGTTGGTCTCAAAACAGAAAGTGAGGTACCTTCAATTCTTTTCTCATACTTATGTCTTAGAGGCCTCATTCTGTCTTTCAGTAATATCACAAATATGGATGATCTCCAATGAAGTAAAAAAATGCAGCAGAGATTTCAGTACTTACAGACAATGAAAATCCCTGCATGTGTGTGTTCCCCCACCTCCCCTGTCTGTTTCTAATTTCCTGTTGTGGTGTCCACACGATGAAATCCAAAATTATCTCAAAAAGCACATGGAAAGAAACCCCAAGAACTTGAACTGGCTGAAGATTCCAAGGAGGTAAAATAAAAAGATAACAACATTTAAATTCGAATGGCAATAAAATTGTTTCTAAAAATTAAGTCATCTATGTAATCATTTGACCACCTCTTCAATGTTTCCTTTGTTTTCTTGTTATTGGAAATAAAATTTCTAGGGCAATTCATGAGAATCTTTTTCTAAAATAGTAATTTTCTGATTCAAAGAGGTCATAGGAAAATCCACCGAGTGCAACAGTGATATTTTATCAATTTCTTTCCCTTCTTGCCCACTCTGCCAGCCTGGAAGCAGGAACTACAGCCCAGGAGAAGGGCTCCTGGTTGTCATGCTTTGATCACAGGACCGGGGCGAGGCAGGGTTTAACAACTACCTCTCAGTTTCCACAAATCAGGTCTTTTCACTAACTGCAGCCTACTCCAGAGCAGTCTGGTCTTTCACAGACTGGTGTGCAGGATGAAAGCTGGAGAGCTCATCACTGAGACTTGTGTTGCTGAGTGCAAGGTCCTCTGATTTCTGTGTCCCCAAAATGGGGGCCCAGATCGGCTGTGGGACTGGTGGCAGGGGCTCAGCCCCAGAGATGTGACTGATGCCAGCGAACCCCCCCAGAGCAGGTCAGGGGTGAAGCAGGGCACTGGGCAGTTTGCAGGACTTCTCCTTTGGAAGGTAACGTCAAAATCAGCTTCTGACCTCACATCCACACATTTACTAATGTCTTTCACTACATGTAAAGGAGCTCATGTTTAACCTTGTCCTTTCCAAACCCCCACCACTCATTTTGTTCTTCGGTCAAGGCAAAAAGCGGGTTTGGGAGAGTGCCACCGCCCCGGCAGCCCTGACGGGGCTGTGCCCGCCGCACAGGGGCCCCGGGGCTGCGCTGCCCCCGGGCTGCCTCGCCTCCGACCCCCCGGACTCACGGCCCTCATGGCTGGCTGCCATGGCTCCCCGCACAGCATCTTCCTCGGTGCGGAGCAGGCGGCTCAGACCCTTCATCGTTGCCCCTGGCTGGTCTTCCTCCTCACGCAAGGGAAGGGGCCCCAGGTCGGTGTGGGGAGGGAGGTGCCCTGTGCTGGCCTCGACAAACCGGTTCTGGGGCTCGAGGCCTCACAGAGCCCTGCGGGCACACCCGCAGCACCACCCACCGCCTGGACGCATCGCCCCAAGGGGCAGAGGTGTGGAGTAGCTTCGGGAGTCTGTTCTAACAGAGACCAAGAATTAAATATACTGCATTTCTTGGCACCAGCTAGGCACTGAGCAGGATCATCCGTGCCCCATCCAATCTCTAGGTCTTCTCTAGCCTTATGTGCCAATAGCACTTGGGACCTCCAAAAGCACACGCAAGACAAAAGGCAGTCCCGTTGCACCACACAAACAAGTAACATTTATTACTAATTATCAGGTAGTCATGGTTGCATTACTAATTACACAGTGGTCCCGGAGCTCTCTCTGCAGGTTGGAGTCCATTTGGGAGAGTTATTCTCACCACTGTCAATCAGTGTACACTGCACGGGGAAGGGTGACTAGCTTGACACAGCCTCAGGATGTAAGAGACTGAGGTGCCTCTGCCATAAATTTGTGCATAACTACACAAATGCATTAGCAGTTTTGATCCAATCACAATTTCAGGTAGGCAGTATTTTCATTTGCTTTTGTCAAAGTCCCATCAAAATAAACACACATCCCCCAAAAGGGTCAGTTTTTGTGAAATGACATGCTGAGATCCATCCAATCTATCTATTCCTCAATTTATCTTGCAGTCCCCTGTTACTTTGATCTACTTAAGGCAGCACTGATATTTCACTTCACACAGACAATGATTTTTCTCAGGGCATAAAAATTGAGTGACTACCCTAAATTTTACTTCAAGAACAGCTTTTGATATTGCTGGCATTTCAAAACAAATACTGGGAAAAGTATAGCTCCAAGAATGCAGGAATATCAATATTCAGCCTTACAAAACTGTAGACAGATTTGAGTTCCTTCAATGTAATTTTTTCTTAGTAATTAAATTACACCATTGTTTTAATTTCCAAGATTATAAACACGATACCTGTCCATGGTAAAATTAATCAGAAAGACTCAAGAGTTTGTAAACTGAGCAAATTTGGATACTAAACTATTGGCTCAGATTCAGCTTATCACAGATCAAAAGATTTCACAGTTCTCCTTTAAACACTTTTGATACAGACAGGCTGTAATGTATAAAAATCTTTACATTTGATACACCTTAGTCTGACAGGATAATTACATCAACTGCACTTAAAGCAGATGAACATTACTCAGCCAAAAAAACCCTGAAACCCTGGGAAAATACACCAAGTGAGAAGAACAAGCAACTGATTTTATCATAGTTGAATTATGGAGGTTTCACTTTTTCTTGCTTCCCATCAAATGTTCCAGCAAAATTCCTTAAGAGGAAGTTTTACTTCTGTATGATGACTGGGCTAGTAGTACAGACCTACTGTTTTCAACATTAATGCTCCTTCTCAAAATGAGTGACCAGAGGCAACTAGGAGTGATCAAATTTGCCTACAAAGCTGGCACCAAAGGAGGAACAGAGCATGAGTTACAGTAAAATCCTAATTTTACATACAGTCAGGAAACACCAGCTGCTAGTTTCCATTCTAATTACTAACATACAGTACTATTTCAGAGCATATCGTATGAGTACAACTACATGGGCTCAAATTTTGCAAATAGCAAGTTTACCGCATTTTCTAACTACTTCCCACAATACTGACTCTTTCAAATGGCCCCAACAAACTGCAGAAAGACTGATGCAGAAACCTACAGAGATGCAGAATCCAAAACAAAGTGCAGAGCAAGGAAGTAATGTAACATATTCCTCACTTGCCTTCACAGCATCTCTGACAGGAACTTAAAGAACTTTCTGTAACATTTAGTATTAAAGTAACAGTAGTAATAAATACATAAATGAACCAATATAAAGGTAAAATGTAAGACCCAAGCATGTTGAATAGTGCATAAAGGAGAAAAAGCATAAATTATCTCCTGTAAAAGAAGGTGAGATTTGAAGTCTAGTTTAAGTATTTTTTTATTAAACTGTGTATTAATCTTATTAAACTGTGTTCTTCTACTTAAAGTATGAAACTACAGGATTCTGAGTCCTGCAGTGCATGAATTCTTAGTCTGTTCAACTGTAGCTCCTTACAGTTATCCCCATCCTTTATGGTTACAGCTGCTTGTTGCCACCGGCCTTTGCTTAGAAGTAGTAATTAGAAGAGTGAAATGGACAGGCCCAGCCTCAACAGGTGCCTATGTATACAAATGGCATCAGAATGACATGGCACAGATCCCTGCAACACCAGCCAGATGACAAGCCTGGGCCACTGCAGTGGCTCCCTCGGCTGACTTGTGGGCAGTATGACTTTTAATAACTCCAGCCCTTGGCTCCGACCTGCCAACTACAATGTGTGAGAGGGAGACTGGGCTGTGATAAACCATCCCCAAAATAATTCCAAGGTGGATCAACCTACAGGGAGAACATGTCAAGCCCAAACTCTGTCCCGCTCATGTTTCTACCTGTTACCAACATGCTGCGGTCCAAAAGGGGGATGGGGCCGTGGCACAGCACGGCCTGGGACACAAGGTAGGGTGCAGGTAGAATCGTTTATTGAGGCGTGCGCCGGATTCTTTAGCAGTTCAGGCAGGGAAAGGGACAGAATATAGGGTGAGGCATGAGACAGACAAACGGGGGAGCAAATCAGGATAGGGGCACAAGCGAAAGAGGGAGGAACGTGGGAGGAACTGGGGAAAGAAGGGGCGAATGGAGGCTGTCTCCTCTCTGCAGCTTCTCCAGCCAGTCTGCAGGAAAGCAGGGAAGTGGATAAGCCTGAACATGCCCGGGAGATACAAATTCTGGGGAAGCATACAATGTGTATATACATAATAACTGTAAAGTCTGTATCATAAAGTCCTTTCAATCGCTGTACATATTTTTCCACTTCTGAAATTTTTCCCGTTCTGATTCCTGGTCCTTCACACCAACACTCTATGACACTTCACTTTGAAACAGACGGTAAGACAACTTTCAAGGCTTAGTCAAACTAACTTAATTTTTTCAAGCCCTTACAGTAGCTTAGTTTTTGCTAAGTAATTCTTACATAAAAATACACAATTTAAAGATACACACACAATGACAAGGTAATACTTAGATTCTACACTTTATTGAATCAGACAGATACAAACTAATAAAGGGAAAGGTGTTCACTTTCTAAACAGCAGTGGCAGCTTAATGTTCCCCCAGCTGCTTTTATGTCTTTCCTACCAAAAGTTTCCAGCTCCCACCTCTGTCAACAGAACAGTTCATGCTGAATGCTCACTGACCTGGTTCAGAAAAAGTCAACTCAATCAATTTGCACAGTCTGAACTAGTCCAGCTGATTTGGTCTGAAGAAGGTAAGGGAGCACTGACATGAAGTCAAATGACAGAGCTGTGGGTACAGTGGCATCTGGCAAACAAACAGACAAGCACGTTGAGATGGTGTAATCATTCCAGCAATTTTGGAAACAAAAAAGCACATTCTGGACTTAGCCTGGGCATCTAAGACATACCATGTACATACTGGATTAAAAACCAAGCAAATCCCCAAGTATTCCCAACACAGTTAAACAACAAAATAGATGCTTCTACAGTAGCCACTTCTTTAAATCAGTTTGCAGTCAAAAAGCAATTTATATTTCATACAGGGTTTAGCACTGTTTGTGTAACTGCTAAGAAATATGCTGTCATAATAAATTATTTGTCAGATAAATATTTAAGTATAATAAAATTCCTTTAAGCATTTTGTCATGAACAGAAAAAGCTAAAGTGTATTTTAAATATTTGCACTTAATTCCTTCCTTCAACATATGCACTGATAAAATATAATTTATTCAGAAATACAAAATAATTTTAAAGAGAAATACAGGTAAACAGTAAGAGGTTCATCATCTTGCATATTTGCACATAATTCATTATTATTGCACCATGAGACTTTTTATTTAGAGTAAATTAAGTCCTACTGACTGGTGACAATTTCAAACCGTGAAGAGTTCTCAATCTCTTTGGAAAGGTCAAGGATCAAATAGCATTTATCTGACTACACTGCAGGAATCCTTCTCTCAATTAGCAGTTTTATTAACATTTTCTAAATCAGTGAAGTCATCACGGCTGGTCCATCAATTCTTACTGAAGTAATTTTCAGTAAAACAATGAAAGCTTGATAGTGCTCTAAGTTCTTGTTCTTGTCCTTTGAAACTGTGAGACCAATAAGTTTTTTTGTTCACTGAGAAGACATTCGTAAGCTGAAGCCAAGCAACTCAGCTCTTCTTTGTTATCACACAGCCAATATAATAACTAAATTTGGCATTGAATTGTCCAAGGAAGTGTCAGCCTGAGCTAGTATGATTACCACAGTGAGGATGGCAGGTCAGGTGTGGTCCTGAGAGAGAATGGCAGGTCAGGTGTGGTCCTGAGAGAGCCTTCAGTAAGTACAGTGTAGCACCCTAGCTAATGATTCCTGCTCTCTAGGGAGCTTGCCCTACAAGCTTGCTCAATGGCAGCTCTACCCAATCTGTTCCGTTTTTTGAACAGCAGAGAGAATTCATGAGGCTGCTCATGGCTCTCAGAAAGTTCCACATGTTCAATACAAACAAAATCGTAGTGCTAGCGGATTTTGATTCTTGGAAACAACTGGGGAAAAAAAAAGTACTATTCTAAAAAAAAACAACAAAAAAATTACCTTATTTATATTTGCACCTCTTCTTCTACCTCAGACATCATGTTCTTTCTATACAGATATGCAATGGCTCCAAAGTGACAGGCACCTGAATCCAGCATACCAACAGTGCTAAATTAATTTGCAGTCATAAAACTGTATGAAATACTTCATATAGAATATGCTGCTACACAGTCATTTAAAAAACGTTTTGATTGTATGCTTGGAATTGCTCAACTTGGTCTTTTTTGATACTGATTGTGAAGTTGTTAATCCAGACCTGAAGTTA